CGTAGTCGGCATCATCAGTGAGTTTTGCCATTCGCCGCACCAAACTACGAACTCGTCAAAGAGACTCACTTGTCAGAAGTTATGACTGGGTGGGAGTGAGACAAGAGTAAAAAGACGTGTCAGAAAATAAAGAGACTTGATAGCGCAACCATTCTGTAGAATGTTATTCATGGAATTGACTTCACTTGTCTCACTGGTAAAATGCAGCCTGGTGCTGAGAACGGCAAGACTCACTGACGATGTATACGAAATTTCTGGGAATGTACAAAGTCCACAGTCTTTTGCTAGTAATTATGATAGCTATTATAGTAGAGGACTTCGGGCAAGATGCATCCAACTAAGTTGCCCTGACAACTTGGCCAAGTTACGAAAACGAGATCAAACCACCTCTATACATCGAAAAGAGACTGCGACAAAAACAGAGGTCACAATGTCTTCATATTTACAATATAAGAGGCAAGTTAAAAATTATTATGCTGAAATGGGTGGGTGATACGAGGATATGGAATAGGTGAATTCACCAGGACAGAAGGAGAGCTACCGCAACTGTTCGGAAAATATTTGGTCAAGGTATGGGATTCACGTTTTTCTTCGACGAATTGTAGTTTGTTGTCAAGCCTAGCACTGCTCTCTGACGATGCCAACTACGATGCAGGCGAAACTACTGGGAATGTATTAAATCCACGTTTAGACGCTAGGACGTATCATGGCTTCCGTGACGGAGATCTCTGGACAAGATGCGTCCATCTTTATCCCTCTACCAATAAGACCAAGTTGCGAAAACAAGATTAAACCTTTTCTATACAATGAAAATAGAACGCAACCATTCTAAAGGCAATACCATCTTCGTCTTCAAACCTTCAATCAGACAAATTAACTCGAATACTTCTCGGGAACGAATATCCAATGGAAATAATAATTTGGGATACTAGGGTTGTAATGAGCAGATGGCAAGACCAGGACTATGATAGGACAATAAGAGAGGCATGTAGACAGGGTAATATAACTACCCTCCTGTGAACTAGCACGGGAATTTATTCCACTACTAATGAAATATAATATTCGTACGAGTCTGAAAAAAGGATAATATTTTTTGAAACAAAAAGTTAGGCAAAATGGATTGCTTTAGGGGTTATTCTATTAACTTCAACAACTACGAAAATAACTATATAAGAGGAACGTAGGAACCAGCAACGTAAAAAATGACGATTACCACTGAATTTGCAAACTTAGGGACATGGAAAGATCATAAATGACCAATCATATAGCATTGATGATTTACGAACTTAACTCTAAGGAGACTGAAAGCTTAGCCTCATATAGCGAAATTACAAAAAGACAAGATCAAGAGAGTCTAATTAAGAGAAGGTTGCTTGAGGGAGGAAAGAGTCAACAAGAACTTATCTTGCTGTATAGACAAACTTGGAGATTGCCGAGAATCAATAAAAAGCAGAGATTCTTGTGTTAATGGTATAACTCGAACAATAGGAAAGCATCACCAGAAGAAGATTTTTAAGATACAAGATAAATTGAAGACAATTACATCAAGTGGGTTAGATTATGGAATCAGCTGCAAATACTTGGTGGAGGGTGGTCCACCAAAGAATACAGGTACAAATGGCCACAATTGTCTTAAGAGTTAATCATTAGGGATTTGAGAGCTTAAATCCAGGTCCACTACAAATCCACTTGTTTATTGCGGCGGCGGCTTGAGGTACAAATTTATTTGACTAACAGTAAACGAATAGTCATTGGGGTGATCCATTTCATCACTTTCTGGTTGAGATTTACCAACCCAAGTTGGTAAATGAGTGGAGTTGGGCGACATGATTAGGTTGTACTGAAATGGCAGAGGAATGGGTAACTAGATAGAGGGGCCTTATAATTGAAGCAAAAGATGGTGAGGCTCTACACTAGCGGTTATAATGTAGAAGTGGAGTGACTATGGTATATTCGACAAGTCAGACGAAGGGGCTCCAAGTAAGGCGATAGCATGTAGTAGAGGTGGGAAGAGCTGATAAATGTGAAATCAGGCTTTAAGGCAAATATCGCAAAAGTCACGATTTTGTTGGGCGAACTGGCTTGTCTATTGGAGATACCAATTTGGGCCAGCAAGTCCTGCAGAAGGAATGGTAAACTGAGCGTAAAGCTCAATGCACTAAAATAAACATAGTAGAAAAGATGCACTCTTGAGGTGTAAACTAACAAACGAGGAGAAAAAGGAGATAAATAGGACAATAGGCCATATGAAGTGGTAGGGAAGGCGTTGAGTCTATAACGTTTTAACAAAGGACAAGTGCCCAGGAGGAGGAGGAATACCGCAACTGTTCAATATGAAATTTGTTCAGAAAATTTATTTTTGTATACATTTTACTTATATATAAGCATAGC